CAAATAAACCGTCTACTTATAGTCATGTTGTGTCAGCTTTTTTTTTTTTTTTAGACGGAGTTTTGCTCTAGTTGCCCAGGCTGGAGTGCAATAGCTTGATCTTGGCTCACCACAACCTCTGCCTCCTGAGTTCAAATGGTTCTCCTACCTCTGCCTCCCAAGTAGCTGGGATTACAGGCATGGGCCACCTTCCCCAGCTAATTTTGTATTTTTGGTAGAGATGGGGTTTCTCCATGTTGGTCAGGCTGGTCTCAAACTCCTGACCTCAGGTGATCTTTGACCTCAGGGGATCCACCTGCCTCTGCCTCCCAAAGTGCTGGAATTACAGGCATGAGCCATGGGACCCAACCTGTATCAGCCTTTTTTTAGGTAAAATATTACTTAGAATTTTCAAGAGCAGCCTCTATGAGTAGATCTTTTGATTGTATTCCACTTTCTGTAACAGCCAAAAATGCAGAGTGATGTTTATTTTATTTAGAATCTGCAAATAAGGTCTGGTCTCTGCCTTTTTATTTCTGTTTCTTTTTTTATGAAACAGGGTCCGACTTTAGATTGAGAATGTACAGAAAACCAGCAGGAGGCATTTTCTGCATTGTGAGATGTCAACATAGACATTTTAGATCCCTCCTTTGAGAGTGTGGCTCTTTGACCTTTTCACATCTTGTGTGTTCACCTGCTAGTTATGTGAGAGGCTCCAGGTGTAAATAGAATCTGATGACAGAATCTCTAAGTGTAAACAAGCATCTTAGGAGTGAGAGATCAAGGCCACAAAGTAGCCAGATCCCTGAGCACAACTATACCTACCTGGAGAATGTGATGCTAGAGTGTTCTTGCACTTCTACATACCCAAAAGCTAGCTAATCAGGACAGGTGATCCAGGTTCTGGAGCTCCACCAGGGTACTTCCATTTTCTATTTAGAATCAGCCTGAGTCTCTCCTGCTGGCTTATTATTGAACCGTCAGCCCAGAGTTACTGGAAATGCTCTCACAATCACCTAGGCATCTTTGAGACATTTGAGAATCTCCAGAACAGAATTGTGTCAGGCTGACAAGAGTGGTTAATTTTGCTTCTGTCTTAGTATAAACGAAATGAATCATCCTGTGATTGTTCAAGAGATGTCTTTGGTACCCAGATGAGAGTTTCTCCAATTCCCTGATACTTGGGTGAAAAACAAGGAGGAGGTCTGCAGACTCAAACAGATAAACTAATTGCTTCCATTTCACATAGTCATTAGAAAAATAGATGAAGCAGTCATGGTCCCTACCATGCAGGAACTTTTAGTCTAGACTAGCAACTGGATAAATGATTTAATTATGCATCATATGGTGGGTACAATAAATAGATGTGTGCAAAAATATGGGCTTTATTTGGGCCATTTTCTTTATATTGTGACTTCTGATGTCTATACCTGAACATATATTAATAAACAAAGTTATTTTTTTTTTTGCCTTGCTAAGAATACTTATCCTCTAAAAATTATTCTAGAAAACCTTAAGGGATTTGTTTAAATTGCTTATTAGTATGTGATAAAAAATTGACAGGGCAGTGGGGCTAAAAAAAGATAAAATTACACAAACTCTGAGATTTAAGTTTTGTTTTTTTTTTCTTTTAGGTAAGCTTAAAAAAAGAAACAGAAATAAAAATACTCCCCAGTGGCATAAAGAACAGAATTTTACATCAGCTCTACACCCTCCCCCAGCCCTGTTCAGATTCACCCTTTTTGAAGGCCTTATTTAGGTCTTTTCCTACCCTGGAGTCTTGCCTCACACAACTAACTAGAAGAGATCAGAGTTTTGGCTGATGAATCCTGTTGCCTTTTTAGAGTTGGTGCTCACAATTTTCTGAAACCCAGTGGCAGATAAATAGAAAATATAACATGTATTATAGGGTCTTAATTTATTAATTTTATATTAAAACCAGTGTTTACAGAGACATTCCATTTAGCAGCTTGTTTTCTGTTCCTGCAGATATAGTAGTTGATTCACAAGTCACAAAATAGCAAATATAAACACAGTAAAAATTCATCTACATTTCATTAAACTCTATTTGTATCCTTCTCAACTGTCTGCATTTAGATTTTATTCTGTGCATTTAAAAAAAATCAATGAAAGATAAACAGAAGAGGAAATAAAAATGCTGGGTCTTTATTCTAAATCCTTGGACTTATTGGACACTTAGTATCAACTCACAGAGTGTTATTAGAATCAAATAATGTGCTATCACAGTGCTTTGTAACATCCTATTGATCACATAGTACCTGCTTAATAAACATTGCATTAGGACATGTGCACATGTTGTTTTCCAAATGCAGACTTACTCAGAGGTTGCTGCTTTCTGTTTTCTCTGTAAACTTTAAAGAGCCAGAAAATAATACGATACTTTAAGATAGAGAATGGTTGTCTTCATTTGCATCAGAAGTATTTGTGTTGTTACAAAACTGCTGAGTGTAAGGAGCTCTGTGCTGTGCCTCATTTTTCTAACTAATGCTAATAATGAACCCAGAGAGAGTGACACCAGCATTGACAGAAGACTTGTTTAGAACACCCATTTATGGTCCATTTCCAAACCTGCAGAATCACATTACATAGAGTGGGGCCATGTTTACTAAGTGATTTATAAGCTCATTAAAGCTAGAGTGACAATGCTTAGGTAAGTGGTTATAAGCTCAGGCTTCTAATTAGAATCTCATGACCAATTCACAGAAGTCTCTTTACTTGTACCCTTTTCACAGTTTCTGTTCTGGGTGAAAGCATCTATTTGTTTTAATTAAGTGCCTCATGTGACTCTCAGGTGCCAGAATCAAATTCGTGGAGTTCAAGATACATTCATCAGAGTTAAGTTCCACCTTTGCACTAAAGAATGGTCCAGGAATCTATTCTGTTTGGGTTTGATAAGGACAGGACACTGTGGCCAATATTTCTTGCCCTTTTTTTGAGATGGAGTCTCGCTGTCTCACCCAGGCTGGAGTTTTATGAATGGCACGATCTCGGCTCACTGCAACCTCCGCCTCCCGGGTTCAAGTGATTCTCCTGCCTCAGCCTCCTGAGTAGCTGGGATTACAGGTGCCTGCCACCATGCCCAGCTAATTTTTGTATTTTTGATAGAGATGGGGTTTCACCCTGTTGGCCAGGCTGGCCTCGAACTCCTGACCTCAGGTGTCCACCTGCCTTGGCCTCCCAAAGTGCTGGGATTCAATATTTCTATTACTGTAGCAGAAACTGCCGGTGTTTGTAACAGGGGAGAGCACATGGGGACATAAAAAAGAGAAACTTAAATTTTTATCTCTGTGGAGCAGCTCATTGTTCCTGAATCTTTATTGTTATAAAGGACAGAAACGGGTAGACTTTTTCTGTCTTGGGCCTTCTGACTTTGCGTGTGATGGTAACAAGTGAACATGTGGTGCTCAGAATTTTAAAGGCATATTCTCAAGATGCAGGTGTAATTAGTCCAGAAAATCTCATCTGAGAAAGAATTCTAAAGGAGGAGGAGAAAGAGAAAAAGTGACTTTTCTTCAGCTAAACGTGTCTTAGATCGAGAGCTGTGTCTACTCTGCTTTTTGGAATGCCATGCATTTAGTACTTGCAAATCTTCACTTCTATACCTGTGTTTTTTCTCTCTAATGAGTTTATCTTAACTACTTTTAAAAATGTTTATGATAGTTAAGCGTGTCTGAAAAATTTTTCTATATACCAGAGCCTTCTCTACATCATGGCTTCTTACATGCCATGCAGAATTCTCACCATGAATTTGTGGTGTGCAATATTAAAAATGTTCTCCTTGTGGCTGTTGAACATGGAGAGGTGTGGATACTCAATATTTCTATGGGGAAACCCTGGGGTTCTTAGTAAAGATGTAGAACGTGTAATGTTGAGGTTCTATCTGTGTTCTTTATTATCTGTATGCATTACACAATTAAGAAAATGCTTATTTAAACAGGATGGCATTTATTACCCAGAAAGTTCTGAAAAAATTATCAAGAGAGACCTCCTTATTAGGGTGCCATAGAAAGACTACTTAAAATCACTATTAAAAATTGCAGAACATGAAAGATATCTGTATCTTGAACTTTCCATAAAACTGATGTTTTCTTATGCTTAAATTCAGACTGTAATTTACTTTAGTGGGGATAATATCTCAGTAGTGATGCTGTGTCCTTCTGGGTGCATCAGCACACTATAAAAACTTGTCCTAGTGCAGTTGATATTGATGTTAATAACTCAATAAGCTCTCTTACAGATTTTTTTCACTATAGAGTTATTTTTCTCTTCATCATTAAGCATCTTTATGGGAACTGATGTGCATAAACTATCACATTTAATCTGGCTGCCTTTTTTTTTTTTTTTTTTTTAGATTTTCTTTGCATTTTTTTTTCTTTGGTAAATGAAAGCTCTCATCTTTGTTTACAGGCTAGAAAAACTGAAACAAACAAACAAAAAAACACAGGCTGTTCCACTTACTGGATGTTTGACAAAATAGTCTTTTGGGGCCAAAACATTGGCATTACTGGTGAGCTTGGCAGAGATTCAGTAACTCAGACTTTATTTCAGATCTCCTAAAAAAAAAATCTGTATTAACAAGATGTCCAGTTTATTGTACGCATTAAAATTTGAGTGAACCTTCTAACTTAAGATGTTTATTTTGTCTGAAAAATATAAAGAACTATGTCTTTTTCCTCTGAAAAATATACATAACTCATTCTGTATTATGTAAATATAGCACTCAAAAATGTATGTTAGTGTTTATGCCTTCAATTTTATGTTTTATTATCCAGACAATTATCATATATACACTGATGTTGTGAATATTTTTCCACTGTCTTTTCTCAGAGTTAGAGAATACATTAGAAAATGTTTATTTGTTGACAATTATTTTATTGGATAATTTCAATCACTCTTATAAGTCAGAATCAGTTCTGTTTACTCTAATTTTACCTTGAATCACATGAAAACTTCTGCCCATAGCCACTTTGTAAATATGTGTGTTTGTGTGTGTTTTCCAGGGACTGTTGACATTTAGGGATGTGGCCATAGAATTCTCTCTGGAGGAGTGGCAACACCTAGACATTGCACAGCGGAATTTATATAGGAATGTGATGTTAGAGAACTACAGAAACCTGGCCTTCCTGGGTGAGGATAACTTTAATACAAAATTCCTAATATAAACTAAAGCTTTCATTTCTCTTTTGTAGAATGTTTTCTGGTAATTTATGCTTTCAGATTTCTGTTTTCAAGAAAATACTGGGGATTTGTCTTGAGAAAAGAATTTCTTCAAGATGTTTCATCTTGACCTGAACTTTCCTCATTCCTGAGCTGATCTGTGTCCTGCACTTTAGATTAAGGCTAATTTCAGAAGTTTAGTGGCATGAAATATTGTTATACCTTAAAATCTAATTGGCATCACCAAATTTGATTCAGTAGTACCAGGCAGTGAAATTAAGAACCTAAAAAATTAAAATATTTTCTGAATATTTAAAAATCTCTTTTATAAATTAGTATATTGGAATAAAGTTGTTAGAATATTTTATTATATCCTCTTTACTGAGCACATTACTAAGTTGGTAATTGGAGAATATGAGCAAGATTCATGTTATTTATTTTTAATAAAACAGGTATTGCCGTCTCTAAGCCAGACCTGATCACCTGTCTGGAGCAAGGAAAAGAGCCCTGGAATATGACGCGACATGAGATGGTGGATGAGTCCCCAGGTAGGTGAGAGTGAATACAACAGATGACATGGTTGAGAGGTCCAAAGTCAAGAAGAAAGCCACTCTTTAATTAAATTATACTCTTACATAGGGGCATCTTCTACTTATGCCTATAAAATCTAAGAATTCTACTTTCCCTTCAATGATCTTCCTTCAAGTTTACAGTGACAGCCAAAGTACTGTTCATGGCATACAAAAAGAGTGTAAATCTGACTTCTTTTTTCTTGTTTTATGGACAGACAGATATCTCCATAATTTTGAGATACTCTGTTAAACTGTTTTTTAAGTTCTCTTTTTGCATCACGTCTGAAATATGTGACAGTAGTAGTTTCTGTTCTATTGGTTTTTTTTTTTTTTCCTGCACATTTCATCCCAGTTTTCATTACTGTAGTCTTGAAATCTAGTTTGAAATTATAAAGTAGGATGTCCTTCTGCTTCCTTTTTTTTCCTCAAGATTGCTTTGGCTATTCAAAGTTTATTGTAGTTTCATGTATATTTTAGGATTGTATTTTTTATTACTGTGAAGAAAAACGCTGGAATTTTGATAGGGAGTTCATTGAATCTACAGGTCACTTTGGATAATATGGCAGTTTCACAATACTTATTCTTTCAATAGAAATAAAATATTTTAAAATTTATTTGTGTCCTCTAATTTTGTTCATTGATGTATCTTTCACTTAAAAGATTTATGAATTCCTTGTTTAAATTTGTTCTAAAATTGATTATTTCATTGCTATTGTATGTAAGATTGTTTTTTTCCTCTATTTTATCAGATAGTTTGTTTTAAGTGTATGGAACCATCACTTATACTTGTATGTTAATTTTATATTTTGCTAATTAACTGAGTGTATTCATTAGTTTAAACAGGTTTTAATATACTATATTTATATATATGTGATTACATGATCTACAAACAGCAACATTTTACTTATTGGTCTTCAATTTCAATGACTTTAAATTTTTCTTTTGACTATTTTGTCTTCTATATACTTCGAGTGCTGTGTTAAAATAGAAGCTAGTTTTGCATTAGTGTCTAAATTTGAAGGAGCAGCCGGGCGCAGTGGCTCACGCCTGTAATCCCAGCACTTTGGGAGGCCGAGGCGGGTGGATCATGAGGTGAGGAGATGGAGACCATCCTGGCTAACACTGTGAAACCCCGTCTGTACTAAAAATACAAAAAATTAGCTGGGCGTGGTGGCGGGTGCCTGTAGTCCCAGCTACTCGGGAGGCTGACGCAGGAGAATGGCGTGAACCTGGGAGGCGGAGCTTACAGTGAGCCGAGATCGCGCCACTGTACTCCAGCCTGGGCAACAGAGGGAGACTCCGTCTCAAAAAAAAAAATGTTTTTTTGAAGGAGCAAACACCTCTTCAAGTTTTTACAAACTGGTTTCAGAAAGTAAAAATGTATTTTTGTTGGGCCCGCAGAGTGATAAAATGCCCTCTGGGTTTGTAGTAAAGAGGGGTTGTAGCTTGGCCTTAAGACTGCTGAGTTTGCACAAGGGTCCACCTTTAGTTGTCTTGTTAAAAGGAGCGTGGATAGTTGTAATTCTCATTTAATTTTTGGACAGAGTGAATATCCTTCAGGACTTTGCTCTGCAGGGCAGACCCAAGGGCAGGTTTCTGCAGTCAGGCCTGCGTATGGTGGGTTTTATATCAGGATGTGGATGACAAGTACAAGAGCGGATTTTCCCAGGTAGCTTTGGGTTTCTACATAGGCAAAACTGGCCATGAGCTGTGGCTCAGGGAGCTGGAATTGAGTCATGGAACTGCTCCAGGGACCACAGTAAAAGTCAAGGTCTGCAGGCCTGCCAGCATGGCTATAAATGGGTATCTTTCTCCAGGCCTCTGGAAAGGCAGGAGCTCCCCCACACTGTGACTGGGAAGAGTTTGGGACATTTACAGAGTAAGTTTAAAATTCTCAGGGGAACCAAGTTCGGTGGAACAATTTCTTGTCTGTAGCCAGAAACAGTAGTTCTGTAGTTTACCACCTGAATGAGGGCCTGTCTTCTAAAAAGGATTACCTTCAATCTTGCGCTTTAGCAGAGTTTCACAACTCCTTTCCTGGATCTCAGAGTTCTTTTAAAGGCACTTATTTTTGAGCTAGGGTCTTGTAACATAACCCAGGCAGGTCTTAATATTTTGACTGAAAGCAATTCTCCAACTTTTATGTACCGTGTAGCTGTCATTACAGGTGTGAACCATGATGCCTGGTAAAGGCATTTTTGTCAGCAATGGCTGACAGATTTTCTTGCTGTTGGAGAATAAGCAAATAGGGCACCTTTAATTTTTTATCTTATTAATGTCACTCTCCATATAAATTTTTACTATTTTCTACTTCAAATATGTCTGTAATTTTAGATTCAGACATTTAGGGCAATATACTAGAATATACATGTTGTGCCTGAGTTAAATTAGATAATTAGTATGCAGGCAGGCAAAAAGGAATTATAGAGCCGGGTACAGTGGCTCATGCCTGTAATCCCAGCACTTTGGGAGACTGAGGCGGGTAGATCACGAGGTCAGGAGATCGAGACCATCCTGGCTAACACTATGAAACCCCATCCCTACTAAAAATACAAAAAATTAGCTGGGCATGGCAGCACGCGCGTGTAGTCCCAGCTACTAGCGAAGCTGAGGCAGGAGAATCACTTGAACCTGGGAGGTGGAGGTTGCAGTGAGCCAAGATTGTGTCACTGCACTCTAGCTGGGAGACAGAGCGGAGACTCCATCTCAAAAGAAAAGGAATTATAGAAATTTCAACCACTTTTATCAGCCTGTATCTAAATAATAACATAATTTATTCCCCCAATATTTGTTTTATATGTGAGGCTCTAACCATATTCTGCTAAATATATACATAATTTAGCAATGTAAGACTATTCTTTGCTTCTAAACTTGGATTACAGTAGGTTTTTTTTGTGTAAAATAACATATGTTTAAAACAAAAATTGACTATCTTATCTGTTAAATGCTTATCTATTAAAAGTTTCTCATTAGCATCTCCTATTTACGATTTTACTGCATTTTGTCTAAAATTTTATTACCACATAACAGATGCCAGTAATTTAAAGCGCCTGCCTTCCCTGAATGCACAGTTACAGCCAAACATTGCAGTTATCTAGACAAATTATTTGTTAATGTACATTATTGTTGCCAACTAGATTTTATGAGTAAGCATTTCTTTCATTATTGTCTTACGGTTCTATATTAGTGTTTTTTTTTAGTGCAAGTTTCTTAATATCAGTTTATTTTGTCTATTGATTTCATGCATTATAATTTTAGACAATTTACAATTCTGTTTGTATACTTTAAGTCAGTGTCTGGTTTAATTAAAAGATAAATGAGCCATATGTCTGTCACAGTCAGATTATATGTGTGTGTTTATAGCTACAAATATGACCCAAATTTGGTTATAGTTTACTTGTATATATTGTATATATTCTTTCTTAGCTCATTTTCTTTTTCTTTTCTTTTTGTTTTTAGACAGAGTTTTGCTCTTGTTGCTAAGGCTAGAGTGCAGTGTGTGATCTTGGCTCACTGCAACCTCTGCCTCTCGGGTTCAAGTGATTCTCCAGCCTCAGTCTCCTGAGTAGCTGGGATTACAGGCATGTGCCACCATCCCCGGCTAATTTTGTATTTATTTATTTATTTATTTTTAGTAGAGATGGGGTTTGCCATGTTGGTCAGGCTGGTGTCGAACTCTTGACCTCAGGTAATCAGCTTGCTTTGGCCTCCCAAAGTGCTGGGATTACAGGCGTGAGCCACCGTGCCCGGCCTCTTAGCTCATTTTCAATGTTAGTTTTATCTTGTCTAAGTGAGTAGCCTTGGAAATAGTCTTATTTTCACCATGTGTTTAATGATAAATATGTATTTCTTTTGTGTGAGAAAAACACTTTGGTGATTTGAAGATAATTTTTAAAAAGATGTATATTGTATTTTTTCCAGTTTAAAAAAAAAATATTTGTTGTAAAAACACTTAACATATAATTTACCTTCTTAAATCTATTTAAATGTACATATCAGGGCCAGGCATGGTGGTGGCTCACATCTTTAAAACCAGGATTTTGAGAGGCTAGGACAGGAGGATTGCTTGAGCCTAAAAGTTTGAGACAAACCTGGGCAAAATATGGAGATACCCTCTCCACAAACTTTTTTTTTTTTTTTCCTAAAAAGTAGCCAGGCATGGTGGTGTACACCTGTGGTCCCAGCTACTTTTTTTTTTGAGACGGAGTCTCGCTCTGCCACCCAGGCCTGAATGCAGTGGCCAGATCTCAGCTCACTGCAAGCTCCGCCTCCTGGGTTTACGCCATTCTCCTGCCTCAGCCTCCCGAGTAGCTGGGACTACAGGCGCCTGCCATGTTGCCTGGCTAGTTTTTTTGTATTTTTTAGTAGAGACGGGGTTTCACCATGTTAACCAGGATGGTCTCGATCTCCTGACCTCGTGATCCGCCCGTCTCAGCCTCCTAAAGTGCTGGGATTACAGGCTTGAGCCACCGCGCCCGGCCAAGTCCCAGCTACTTTAGAGATTGAGGGGCAGGATTACTTGAGCCTGGGACTGTGAGGTTGCAGTGAGCCATAATTGTGCCATTGCATTCAATCTTGGGTTACAGATTGAGACCCTGTTTCAAAAAAAAAACAACAACAAACAACAAAAACCTGTATATTTCAGGCATGTTAACTATATTCACATTGTTATGCAAAAGACTTCTAGAAATTTTACGTCTTCTAAAACTAAAACTCAATATCCATTAAATAACATTTACTTGTTTTATGTTCTCTCCAGCCCTTGAAAAACAAGCTTCCACTTTCTGTTTTTATGAGTGTGACTATTTTATATATTTCATATAAGTAAAATCATAACATCCATCATTTCGTAACTGGTTTATTTCAGTGGACATAATATTCTCAAAGTGTATCTTTAAATGTGACAAGATTTTTTTTTAAGGCTGATTAATATTCCATTGTATCAAACATGTCTTCAAGATCTTTTGTTGCATATT